CCACCAAGTCTTGGTTCTTTGCCAAGGCCTCAGGGATCACCTGCTGAGTCTGGAGCGGTCGAGCGGTGACACCAGTGAGGGAACAATGGGACTCCCATGCCACCTCTTTGATTGCAGACATGCAAAAACCATGGGTACCTAAGTAGCCTCCATTCCATACTTGGGGGATCTTGGGGGTATCAAAGACCTCCTTTTCTAAAACTCCGAGAGGGACGTGAGTCAGTGGACGTGACCTCGTGTCACTGGGACGACTTTCAGACTCAAAAAACAAGCCAACCACCATCTACCACCCGATAGTAGCGTTCTTGCTCCTAGTAGCGATGCCAGGAGCCCCTAGTAGCTTCTTGCTCCTATAGTAGTAAGGCCAGGAGCCCCTAGTAGCTTCTTGCTCCTACTAAAGAAAGGTGGAGTTAATGACATCAGGTGGCGCCATACTTCGGTACGCGCCGCCGTGTCCGCCTCCCGACGATGTCGGCTCCCGCCTGTGCCTGGACCTTCGACATCTCATGATAGCCGAAGACCTCATGCCTTGGCGCCACGTGGTACGTGCCAGAACTACTTCGGTGCCAGAACTTCTCTCGGTCATGTGGCATGCCAACATGCCAGGGATCATGCAAACCTTGATTCAAGACAGCTATAGCATGCTATAGCGGTCGACCTAGGAGCTCTTGAAAGCGATAGCTCCATATTGCTCCTTCCTTTCGTCACAGATTCAAGGCAACTTCGAGTATCTTCCCAGATCACCGCACTATATATGAAATGCAGTACTGATAGTTTAGCTGGCAGCTGGCTTGGTGTTCCCAGCAGTGCGCGCTGCGTCTCCTCTGAGATTGGCAGCTCTGAGAAGCGCTCAGGCACCTTGGCAACACGGCACCTACAATGTCTTTCCCATGAACTCATGGGCGGCTCGGAGAAGACCACATCGACCAGAATTCCACCACCGACTCACAGCACCTTGGCAGATCCCATCAGCTTTCTCCTCGTCTTTGTTAGAGTTAGATCGATCCCAAGACGGCGAGGACGACGTCGAGGTCTCAGCCGCCGGACGCTCGTCCGCTCTTCCCCCGACTCGTTGAGCCGGATCTTCTCCCGACCTGCTCCCGCCCTGCCCATGTACCATGTACACGCAGGGGGGGGTGATGTTTGCTGGAGCTGAACAAGAAAGGCACTTGTAGGGTTATAGAGAAAATATGGGACACACAGATTGCATCACCCAATCAGCAAAGCAAAGCATATACTGTGTGCAAGCATCGAATCATTGCACGTTCGATTACATACAATTGTCTCGATAGACCAGCACGCGTGTATGAAACTTGTTGAATGATGACATATTGATATATGTGGGTCTTGGCTAAGTCAATCAAACCCTATATGCAAAAATATGCAAAATCATAGGGGAACAAGTATCACAGAATTCACTTAAAAGCAAAATATATCACCGTCGCTAGCGTGGTGAACAACATGTAAACACCACCTACTCGTTGAACATGCAAATTGTTTTTCAATTTGTTTGTTTCCCTCAGGTCAACAAATCTCCTGTTTGCTGAGCCTTGTGAGAGCGCATGGCTGCGTGCAAAGCGCTGCTCCCACCTAAGGACGCCCACAGAGAAAATCGACGCCGCAAAGCCGCAACGCCGCTCCGTTTCACTCTTCGGTGAGGAAAGTCGATGACAGAACTTCAGCAAACACCATTTAGCACCGACTTGCACAGTCGGTTTCACACATGTGTAGCATCGCGTAGGGGTTTTAAGTGCACGGGTTTTCTTCAACGCGACCCGTGTTCCGAAAGCACGGAGATGCTGGCTGCAAACAAACATAATTTCACCAGCTTTCTGCTCATCAACAGCGGAGGTTCAGTTCATGTTGAGTGGGGTGTCCTCGATCCCCTAAAGTTCAGGCAGTGGAAGGTGATCCACTGTTCACTGGGTACCAATCCCCTCGGGCAGTGGCAGGATCGGCCGCCAACCTTCACCTGGTGCCGCCGATCGGCCGCGCCGAGCTCAGCTGAGCTCAGGCAGTCCCTCAGCCGAGACCTGTCTGGGACTGCAGTCCCTCAGCCCACCGAGTCACCGCTACACCTAGATCATCCGTTCTGTGTCACCTACTTATGGATCTCCAGACAGGACACCCAAACAGGTGGATCCTGGCATGTTCTTGGTGCTTTTGCGGTGGTGGATAGAGGCCATATTTCATATTGGAAACCAGCGTTTGGGGCCATCAAGGGACAACGACAGGGATAATTTGTGGCTCACGAAGTTCACTTGAAGTTCACGATGTTTCAAGCAAACCTCACCCAGGACAACCATTGTGACCTTCAGGTGATTCTCTGTGAACCCTTGCTGTCTGGCTTTCTACCGGTCTGTCTGAAGAGCCATTACGAGGTTGTACCCCAAAGCCTCGCTATAACTGATCTCTTAGAGCTTCGCTTGAACTGTTCATCACTTTTCCATGTTTCATGGGCGTCGCATACCTCAACCCATCGGACTCATTGGACTCCTGGCCCCGGCCTGCAGCCAGCGAAAGGCGCTGAGCCTGGCTCAGTAGGCGAAGAACCTCCTCCTTTTGATGCCGTTTCGATCCTAAGCGATCAACCCGAGCCTGGTCCAGTCCACGAAAGCCTGGTCCTGAAGACCATTGAACACCTCATTGAGTAGTGTTTTTGGGTAGGACTTCCACTAAAAGGGCTTTCAACAGTCCACATGGTCCAACTGACCTGGGTCTTCCACCCATTGGACCGGAACACCTTCTTCCCCCCAAAAAGGTTGGGCATGTTTGCCACGTTTCCAGACTTCTTCCAAACGCCTCCTGTTTCTTGACGACACATCCCCGTTTTGTGTGGCAGCAAGGGTGAGGTGGTCGATTTTCTCGACTCAACAGTGCTGTGAAACAAAGTCCACTCCCCCTCTTGTGGTGCCCGGCCGTCTGGAGCACCCGGCCTTGCGCAGTGCGACGTGGACACGTGCGCAAGACTTGCGTTCTAAACATTCTTCCTCCAGAACCTAAGAGCGATGGCCTCCAGAACCTGCCAACTTCAGATTTTTCCACGTCTCAGCTGTCTGCACTGAGGAATCATGGAACCAGTCGTTGTAAAAGGTTGTCTGGGAGCCACCACTCATGATCTCGGGGAGGTTCCAATTGTGGCAAAGGGTCTACTATCAATGCCTCGAGCAATCTGTATAATTTATATCTTATATCTGTTCCCTCGCTCCGCCATGCTCCGCCCTCATAATTCAGGAATGAGCAAGGCCTCTATAACATTCTATGATCATGGTGATCCCCAAATAGATCCTTGGTCTTCAGTCCATGGCGCATCCTCCGGGCACCATGCACCCGTCTGCCGTCTGCACTCGGAAGTGCCGGCACTCGGTTCTCAAGGGCCATTCGCGGCGCCCAAAGCGGTGATTGAAAACGACCATGCCCAATCGCTCCATGTATGCCATATATGCCTACATTGACCCCCCAAACCACCCCAATGTAGGCATATATTCCATACATGTCTGGGATGGAACCAAATATTCCACTATGAGACCTCTGAACATTTGGGGTGTGCATCTGATGGGGATGGTGTCCCAACCAATGGTTTTGGCCAATTTTTGCAGATTGGCAGGTCTCCCGATTTCAAGGTACACAGTCACATGAATGTGAGTCATGGTACCAGGGAGGCCAACTGGTTGAACAAAGGAGACCGCCAAACATCGTCAACCTTTGGTGGTTGAGGTTTGGACCAGACTGACATATATTAACCATGATATACCATGATTAAGCTATCTAACCTATTCAGCTGGTCCTTTCTGGGCTGAGTCCCGGGTCTGACGGGAAGCGCCATAGATGAAGAGGTGCTTCAATCCAAATGGGAGGTCTTGTGAGTTATATAAAACTTCTACACAGTCACATCCACGTCCAATTGATCACAGTCACATATTACTACTCCACGCTCCGAAACGACACATCGACAGACCTACGTCCTCCCTGCGTCATCCCTTCAATGCTGACAAAAAGAACGCGGTGAACACACATCCGGGCACCCGCACGGACAGCTGCCCCGCGCATGGCTCCATGCGAGGTTCGCTCAGCGAGCTGGGCAGGTGATCCGTGGTGATCGTGAGTCCCGTGTGAACGACCGATGTGAACTACCGTGAACTACCGGTGGACCACCCGGAAACGTTGAACCGCCCCTACACTTCGGAGAATGTTGTCCACCATACACTTCGGAGGCGGTTTGCTTTCTGTGCTTGCTTTTTGTGGCTCGCAGCTTGTTTGAGTCTTCTGACAGTCTGCGTTTGGTGCTTCTTGTCTCATCTTGCTCGCATGTTTGAAGCAACTCCAAAAGATGGTCAAGGACTCGACCTGCCGACCTGCCGAGGTCCCAGTCCGACCGTCTCTCTTCGAAACGCCTGCCTTGAAAAAGGTCTTCCCAGCAAGAAGTAGGTGTGGTTGGATATGGTTGGATGATCCCATGTACACAACTAACCCAAATGAAAGATCTGGGACAGTCCAAGAGCCTTCAGTTCATTGGAACCTCCGGGTGCTGGAAGCCAGCCAGTCAGCGGGTGAAGCTTGGAATGTCATTGAACGGGAGAATCCACACCCAACCGGTCTAGGCCCTTGTTGAATGAAGCTACTGTATGGAAAGAATCAAACCAACGGATATCCTTTGCGATCACCGCATGTTTGAGTGGCTTGAGCGGATCTGGTCATAGTGGCCTCACTTAGAGTCCTTTGGCATGGATACAAAATGATCGTATATTCCTGTTTGGATCAAAGAAGGTCACTAGGGTTTGTACCTGCCGTGCCTACGGCGACGGCTCAACTACAGTTCGTCCAAATCTCAAACCCCACTTTAAACAAAAAACAAAAGGGATCAAAAGGGACGACACAAATAAGCGACACGGCCGTTCGTGCCGGCTAGGCTGCTGTTTCAGTCCCACATGTTTCTGGTTATCCACGTATATCCCATTCCGAGTAACAGTGGATGATAGTAAAGGCATTTCTCCAAAATCGTGGAACTATAATGAACTATATGATCATCTTAAATCAACTGTTACAGGTGACACTCCCTGAAACGTTGAGACGCTGGGCCGCTGCACTGTTTCTTTTCATCCAGTCCGCGATCAGCCGCTTCCTGGTAGATGCGCTCCGCTCGCGGTCCTGGTGGTCGGTCGGCTGATCATCGAGACTCCTTGGTTTTCGTGGAGGTGGGTGGTTGTAAACTCCACGGAGCTGGAGAGCGGCAGCCGGAACTCTTCCCCTTAAGGACCGGGAGAGGGATGAGTGCCGATTCTCTTTTTGGGAACTCGTGGAAACAAGTGAGGGTGTGCAGATGCCATGAGGGAGGCCGTCAAGATCCCCGGCAGTCACTATACGTGACGTGACCATGTGGTATAACTGGCTTGGAATTTTCAATATCAGCCCGTCCAACAGGCGTCCACATTGTTCTATCTAGCCAACGTGGTTCGCAATAACATTTTGGCCCCATGGAACAAAATACAATCTGAACTAGACTTTCTCCACCGTTCGGCATCATAGCTCCGCAAAAACAATTCTTGTAAATGCAGGGCACAAGAATAGCACGTTGAAAACAACTGAAACCATCTTGTTTCGAGACCCACATGGGAAGAAAACCAACCTGTTTGACCTAGGGCCTCAGACTCACCGTACTCTCTGAAAAACGCCGGTGATGCCAGCCACCCACCGTCCGTCACACGGACGGTCACGCCACCTGAGGGAAGGCGCATGGACCGCAAGAGCGGGACGAAGGGTCGCCTGGGTCCGTCCGAGCGCGTCCGGTCCGATCGCAGCGGTCCGAGGAGCGTCCGGGGCGTTTCGACCGGCGGTGAAGCAGTTGTCGTGCGTGAGAAGAACTGCCAGTTTCCGTGCAGAATTGTGTTGGGACCAGCAATTGGTGCTGGGAATCGAAGCCTGTGACAGATTGACAAACAAACACATCAAATAAACAAGGATGGTTTTTGTTTCCTAGTATGCCGTAGACATCTTTTTGCTTTCAACACGGCTGAAAAAATACGGTGGAAGGCAATCGCGACGGGACATCCAAGGCACAGTTCATCGTCATCCAGAGAAGGCAAAAGGGCCTGGAATTTCAAGGCTTAAGGGAGTGGAGGCCAGTGGAGGCCGAGGGATTCAGAGGGCTGCAACCGTTTTTCATGTTTTATATATCTATAACGTTGAAATATCATCAACAGTCTACTGTACATCATGAAAGGTTAAGTGCAAGTGGTCCAAGTCAAAGTCCACGCTGTGACATTCGTGGAACCTGTGGCATAACTTGTTGGGAACCTTGGGACGGCATGAAAACAACCTACCTGGTGTCGGTCGTGAAGCCTGCACATGGTGGACGACCATCGGGCGAACATGGTTGAACGATCCATACCCATATATAATATATACACATAATATACTTGGACCTTCAAGGAGTGTCCAATGGAGGTCCCTTAGTGGTGTAGGGGCTTCCAGCCAGGTGACCCCTTTGAAGGTGCTGGTACAATATAATTGGTTCAATATGGTTGGATGATGTTGGATGTTTGATTGGAAGGAGACCTCATCTTCCTACCAGGCCAGTGATTTGCAAAAACATCTTTTCCAAATGCAACTGTGTCCAAAGTCGTTGACATTTCACACGGGCCTAGGAGCAACCTCCTGGACCTTCCAACGACCAATAAATTATGGTAGTTTTGGTCAATGACCCAGTTTTCCGTGCAAACGACCACAAACATCCGCAAAATAAGGCAACACAAACAAAACGACCAAAACAGCGTTCTCCGCACCGTTTGTCTCTCTCACGCCTCTACGGAAAGCTCATGCACTCTCGGTTCTTTTGGGTGTGTGTTGGTCCTGCCAACCAGTCCGCACCGCGCCGTCTCCGGTCCGCTGGCGTCGCGCCCGGACGTCCGGGCGCCCCGGCGACGACCCGAGCCAACGCCTCCTGGAGCGCCTCCTCCTGCCGACGGGGCGGCAGGGATCCGCAGTTGGCGAGGTCCCCCGCATGTGTCCGTGTTGACCGATGACATTGTCTCTGTCTTGGAGAAACCGATGTCCTAATTGGGATATGTTTTTTTGAGTATAATGCTCGGTGTCCAACGAACAGTACCAAAATGTTCCCAGAAAGGACTGGAATTCACATCAAACTATAAGCAAGTCTTGATGTCTTTTTTCAAAAAAACTATAACACAATCGAGAACGCAAGCCCACGAACTCAGGTCAAGAAGAAAGTCTACCATCAAACATCTTTACCAATCACCAATGCAACCAACTTGCTTTTTTCGGCAAGGTCCATGTTTCATCTTTGCACACTGACCGCAAATGTATCGCTCCAAATGGGCAGACGTCTCCAAATACATCCAAATACCAAGAATCGCTCGTCCGGTCTTTGCTCTCTTGGTCCATAAATTATGGCCCAAAAGTTCGGCTTCAGGGCGGTCTGTTTGTCCAAGACGTCTTTCTGCTCTCAGGTACCTAAATGGAAATAGACTCAGGTGTCTACCGAAATAGTGGTCTCATTTCTTGTGTGATGTAGATCCAATCAGGAAAACAACACTGAAAAAAAACATCCAAAGACTCAGTAAACTGAAGTCCCTCACCAAATCAGCTCCTTTGACCAATTCATGGGCGCCCAGTCCATCCCTCCACCGAGTGCCCGCACGCCCACGCCGGAGGGCGGTGGCCCTTCCACGTGTTCCAGGAACTCCGCCGGGGAGGGCTGCAGGGCGGGGAGCGGGACCGTGTCGGACCGGGGACTGGGGGAGTTGTGGCTGGAAGTTGGAAGCTTTTGACAATTCGAAGTTCCACAGGTGCTTTCGACCTTCAAAAAAAGCATGAAAAGCGATGAAAAGAACTGAAGCAGGTCAAACCAAGAAGAGTGTTCGCTTGAAGGATATGGACCTCAGATGATCTCAATGTTTTTTGAGTGCTGTCCAGGCAAAGGCAGATGAGCAATAATTGAGGTAAGAAGTTGTCAGCACAGAATCATGGACATAAATGACACACACAAAGGGGTCAGCGCAGAGATACAGGCTGCAAACTACACTTCGAAGTTCTCTGAAATCTCTAAAAGTTACCATGCAAATGCCATGCTGAGATTTAGAACTCTCGATCCTCCTAGTAGAGTCTCGAGCTAGACTTTGCGATAGACATGACCTATCACTGACTATCATGCGGCTTGAATCATGTCCACGGTGCCACAGATCTATCCTTTGGCCGGGGGGTCTGACTGTGTAGCAAAATTGTTGTTGAGCTATCGCTTCGGAACCGTTCCATCACCGATTGGACCGATTCGGCGGAAGCACGGAAGAACCACAGCAATGGGATTTCCCGGTTTTGCCGGTTGCTGGAAAGGGCGCAACAGTATTTGGTTGGTATATGCATTGCGTACCGTAAACATGGGCATAAATGGACTGTCGTATGTGGCTATGGGTATGGTGTTTTTTGGGGCCCCTATCTCTTACGTGGGTTGATGCCCGTGTTGCACACTTGTAAGCCAGGAGTACTTTAAACTCCCTAGCCTTCAAAAGACCATTTCAAGAATGGTTGACCCAGTTTTGTAGTCTAGAATCTTGAGTAAACAAATGCTTCTTTGGTGAACACATGTGAACGCCTTCCAACAAATGCCAGGAACCTGCACTTCTGTTTTCAGAGGAATTGAATGATCGCACCATCACCCCGTACCCCATGGTATATAAATCCTCTGCATGTCTTGAGAATCTCGCGGGTCTTCCGATACTGAACGAGACATGCGACGCGCCGACGACGCTCCACGTCTGACCCCAAAAAACGCGTCGACACCGAGGCGCGGTTCCGCGCCCCAACCTGATCAGCCTCTCTCTGTAGAAGGGCGGCGGCATCCAGGAAGCCAAGCACCTCGTGGCGGACTCTGTTCAAAACGTTCCCGTTTGGGCTCCTGGCCCACATTCCCAGGTGGTTGGGGTGGGTGCTGAGGATATTAGTTGGAGCCCTAGGGGTTATAAACAAAAAAGAGCGCCCTCTTCAACAGGTTTGGGTGCGGCAATGTTCAGCGCCTCCAACAGCCTCCAGCTGCACTCTCTGTTTCCACGCAGTGCTCTTGTGTTTCTTCCAAATACTCCCTGGTGGAGCAAACATGCGCCATTCCAGGAATTTACAAGCCTTCCCCTTCCCGAAGTGCCTCTCCAACCATCCGGACTTCCAAAATCACCCCGGGTGGTCATCCCAAACCTTTTCCCTGCGCCGAACAAAAAAGGTACAAGTATAGGAGCACATATACAACATTGTATAACTATATCACATAACCTACCGCACATGTCACCTGATCAAAAGCAAGATATATCAAACTTTTGTGCTCTTCAACCAATTCACTGCCCTGCCACAGCCTCCTAGTCAAAAAAACAACACATGTCACATGATGATAAAAGCAACCCTCCCTCACTCCCTCGGCCTCCCTGGGCCTCCCTCCCTTCTTTCGGCCGCACCGTGACACCATCTCTTCACGTGACCGCCCGCCGTTCGCACCGCCGCCGCACCTCGAAGGCTCCGAAGTGGTTGATCCGTTGCACCGAGGCAGCGACCAAGAGGTGCAACAGTCGACCCTTGGCCACCTGGCGCTTGGCACGGGGGCGCTGCCGGTCGGACGGATGCAGGCGCTTCGGGTGTGCCAGTGGGGCCAAGAGGGAGGAGACTGGCCATCGTCTTTAAAAGGACTGGCTTAAAAGGACTGGAAAGGGAAGAATTGAAACATGATTCACGTTGCTTCTCGTGTTCGTTCCCTGCTATGAAAGACATATGGTAACAATATCCCCCTTACCTCTGCCTTGGCGATAACATAAAAAAGTGAATAGGTGTGATCTATCAAGGTCTTTTGTATATAGAATGAAACGCATTGAGAAACACAAACATGCTCCAATCCACATTGTTATTTTGCTGCCAGAATTCGGGTATCCACTGTTATTAATACATGAGTTTGGCCTTGATCCAAGAAGCCTGCAGGCCTCCCTTTGAAGACATGTATTTTAAACATTACCTATCTCTTCTTGAAAAACCCTTGATATATGCACTCCAGATAGGTAGCACATGTTGTGTTTAAAGAACGGTAAATGATGAGTGCTTTGGGCCGGAGGATGCAATTATTAGAGTTATGTTGGGCACGCCAGCCATAGATACAAGGAGCCAAAATAGTTTTATAAAGCAAAAACAAAGCAAAAAAAAGGAAAAGGCAAAGCAAACAAAAAAGCAAAAAAAATGTAGCTGTGCGTATTTGTGGCGTTTTTTTCACTTTTTTTTCGCTTTATTTTCGCATTTTTGTTCGCATTATTTTCGCTTTTTTCCTAGGAGGGTACAGCAAAAACATATTTGTCGCTTTTTTTCGCTTTATTTTCGCATTTTTTTCGCTTTTTGTTTTTCGCGTTTTTTTCGCTTTTTGTTTTGCTTTGTTTTTGCTTTTTGCTTTGTTTTTGCATGTTCATTTGCTTTTATTTTTCTTTTTTTTGCACTTTTTTTTCACAAAAAAAACTATTTGATGGTTGGCCATGTATGGCTGCCATCGCCCAACATAATATTAGAGTTGGATCAGTGTCCTTGTTTCCAATGTTCAACACTACAAAGGGCCAACAAATATCTCACTCCAAAGCACAAGACATCTGCCTCCAAAGCACAAGACTGCAATCCTCATCAATCCTCCAAAGCACTAGTAGTAACAAAGAAGCTACTAGGAACAAGTGCCACGCTAGTAGTAACAGGTGCCTTACTAGTAGTAACAAAGAAGCTAACAAACAAAACTGCATCACACCTGTGGCCCCCACTCGAAGCACTGCTGCGGAGTGGAGAAGATGCACCAAAGTCAAGGGCTGAGCGGTCGCTCGACTGGTTCGCTCGGGAGGCGGGGAAGGATTGCCGGCGATCTTGGGCCCTTGGATTCACATGAGAAGGTCACTGACGCCCGAGCCGTTTCTATGCAAACAAAATTTCTGAAGCGAACTTGCCACCTGTTCTTGTTAGTTCTTGTTTAGTGGAGAAGCTCATCAATCCCCCCCAAAAAGAGGCTCTTGCCAACGGCATCCACTTGGTTCCTGGGTAGGGCGACTACCCGTCTCACCGGTCCCTCAGATTCGACCATGGGGAATCGATGGCACAGTGAAAGCCTTCAAAACCCTTCAGGTGTTGATGGGCTGATGACTAGATATGATGAAAGCAAACAAAAGGGGGTGTCCATCAAAACCAGCCAACAGAGTGGGGGCCCTACTACTACTGACTACTACTACTACTACTACTACTACTACTACTACTACTACTACCGCTACTACTACACGCCATCGACTCTCATCTAGGACCTCGGAAGCTGACCTTGAACTCCGTCGATTGGTGCTGTTTCAGGAGCCACGCTTCGCCTCGACAGGGATTGTTTCGATTGGGGATAGCTGGGACATCCAGGATAGAGGTGAAGAACATGGAACATGTCAAGAATCCTCAAGATCTTGTGATTTCTTTCTTCAGCTGAATTTAAGGCAACAAGCAAGCAATGGATCTTCCTTGAGAGAGAAATGATGGACTGTTCTGGGAAGGTGCGGCCTGTACTACACAATCTATGTAAAAAACTTCTCTCAGCCAAAAGTATTGTTCTGGCGATCTGCCTTGGATTTACTTCTCCAGTAAGTCCAATCCGAAACAGGCTGATCTTCATGTCTAGAGTCTAGATGTCACATGTGCGACCATGTCTTGCGACAAGCACGTGCGAACAAAAAACATCCGCCAGGGCCAGGGGCTGGATTCGAAAAAGGCCACATCCTGGAAGTTGCTGGCAGCACAAATGTAGAAGACCTGACAAGGGTCGCTCCCCCGGTCGACCCTTGGTCGAGTCGGTGGATGTTGACCGGTCGTTTCTTCTGGCGCAATGATCTGATGGGTTCAAAGAGCAAAAGCGAATTTGCCATTGAAATGATTGCAGAAATGCATAGCAATGCATAGTGCCAAATGTTTTGCAAGTCCCCCTTGTGGCCCGCTGAATCTGAACTTCTCATCACGACTTCTCGTCAAAAAACACCATTATTATATATAGGGCTGTGCAATGCTGTGCATATTGAAATACCTGGAATCTCAGTTCGTACCTCGGTACATGAGCACAAGCTTTTCCATGTTCCATGTTCTAGACTGCGCCCTACTCTCAAACAACCAAGGCAATGACACAGCACCAGGCCTCTCCGAGAGCATCAAAGTCGAAGTCCTCCAAGGAGGAGGAAGTCGACCCTTCCACCACTTCGCCTTCAGTTCTTTTTAAACAAATTCGGAAGGAGCTCGAAACAGTCACACTGGAGGAGCTTGGAATGTGCGGAGTCTTGAATAACAGATGCAGCAGTCTCAGCTGCTAATCAAAAAAATATATCATTCTAACACGGTCATAGATCTGGCTGTTTTCACACCAATCTGGCTCCAACAAACTCACCAGATTTGCTTGCGAGTCAGTCACCAATCTCCAAATCACATGCCACACATCCGCAGGTCTTTTTGATTCAGCCACCAAGGGCTCTCCGACGCCAGGATGAGCTCGGTGTTGCTTCATCGAAAGAATTCAACCACTTGGAGCAAGCGCTCCGGCGCCGGCTAGCTACTAGCAAATAGTCACCTTGGAACCAAGCATGATAAGTTTGGCACATCTTGACACCATTGCTGTTTATAGATCCTTCAAACTCCTTCGCCCTGAGATCTGCTCTCCAAGAAGCCCCCAAACAGATGCCGCCTTCGGCCCGGGCCCCTGGGGCCCCGCACGGATCTGGTATCCCAGCAGTCCGGTCGAACGCCGGAGAACGGGCCAAAGGTCCGTCTCGATGGATTCTTTGGACCTCGAACAGCGGCATCTTGGCGATTGCTGTGAAACCAACAGCAACGACTGTATTGTTGTGGGGAAGCTCATTGAATTATGTCAAAGATGGGGAAGCACTCGAAGACCCTAAGCGATGGAGCTGAAACCAGCGAGCGAAGAAGCAACATGGAATCAACTGCATCGGTTCAAGAAATCTAGAGGAAACGACGGTTTTCACCTCCACAACTATGGGTGTCCTGTAAATGTTCTCTTAGATCAACCAATTCTGAGATGCAACCAACTGGATGAGGCTCAAACATAGAAACAACCACGAGGGCGCAGGTTGAGACCCTTCGGTGTCATACTTGACGCTGATTGCTGAGGCACTGGCACCATCTGAAGAAGTGCCTAAGTGACTTGCCCAAGCGGTGGAGTCAGCGAGTCGGGGATAGAACGGCACTCCGATTGCCATGTGTCAAGACCATGTGATACCGATCACCAAATGGGTGAGGGAGTCTTTGACTAGCCATTTTATAGATATAAAACGGTGGGCCCATCATCCACTAGTTCTATAAACAAGTAAAACAAAAACCCGGATCCACTGCCACCTTCTCAGAAGGTCATTGGACCCTCCTGGCGCCTACATAAATAGTCTCCAATCACCGTACCTCAGAAGGCATGTGGATCCATGAGAAAAATGCAAACATTACAACAAACACATCCATTTGGGAACCAGTAGACCATCACAGCCAAGATCAACCGCGGCTTCTCCTTCTTTCGGGTGACCACCATGGCAGTCACACACGATGTTGACTCTCATTTGTTCCCCTAGGGATGCACATACCCTCTGAGGAGGTGATGTCCGACACTGTTCTGTACGGGTTTGGAGGGTCCAGTCGTACCGAACCTGAGACGGAACGACTGGATCCCTGGGGTTTCACTCACCACGGGGCCCCGTGGTGGTACCCATCAGTGCTTCCAGAAACGCCCATCACCGCGGCATTCCCCCATCATATGACACCGATTGGACCTCCAACACGTCGAATTACTAGTAGTAAGGCACCTGTTACTACTAGCGTGGCACCTGTTACTACTAGCG